GAAGATCAATTAAAGTGCACATACTTGTATCTCCGTACTGCTTCTCCGAATCGTGACAAACTGACATACTCGTTACCAATGTTCTGCAGAGCTCGGTACTCCCCTTCGCCGTCGCCTAATTGACGAGCAAGATCCAATCGCTAAAAAATACGTGCTAAGAACTAATTAATCATATTTAGGACCTAATTTTGTCAACTGTATCATCAGCGTTACGGTCACAATGTTTGAGATACTGTATCTCCTTTGCGCATTTTGTATAGTCAAAACTCACCTGCGTGGTTCCATTTCTCAAAAACTCATTGTATAGGTCTTACCCGGCCTACAAAATTAGTTTTTGAACATTCCCAATAACTTCACCTCGGGAGGGGTGGGGGGCTCTTCGCCACCCTACACACAACTGAAAATGCCGCAAAATCCCAGAGGAAGTTGAGGATGTGGCTTAATCGCGGATTGGTAATCATATTAGCTCGCTTCCGTCTGTTTTGCTTCAACCATTGCTAATATCAAAGGGATCACGAAAGAGACAATCATATCTATCTATAAGTCTTGTCTTCATTATAATATTCCTACCCATAAATGAAAACCAATGGCTTCTTCGTGGCTTCCGAGAAGGTGTAGGATGTTACCAATACAGCCATAAAGGTTTCCTTCTCTGTCATAGTCGTTGAGCGTTTTCGTAAACAGCACACTTTTACTGAAAATTCAAGACACTTCGAGAAAAATTCACTTTAAATGTTACTAAAATTAAAGAATCTAAATTAGTCAACGTTCGATCAGTCCGATTAGTTCGAACTAAGGGATTTCCATCTATAATTCGAACTAATGGTGCTCGAACAGCTCGAACAGTAAACTGGTGGGGTATTACTGAAAACTGGTATTTGCAGAAAAAGTTGAGATTTCTTTTTTCAATTTTGCGAATACTGAGAGCAATCGGCACAGAATATTGGTGTTTCACAGTATCAAGCATCTGGAGGCGACTCCCATAATGTCACACTGCCTTTTTTGTCCCACCTTCAAGAACAGATGTCGTACTTTGAAGACCAATTTCCAACAATTATGAGTCTGACGGGAAAGTGTGGCACCTATAGCCCAAAAGGCAGGTCAAGCCAATCAAAATCGTCAGATCCTTTCAGGAGACATCCATCTACGATTAAGCTGTTAATTGTGTGGCTATTAGTATTTTGTCTTCAATAGTACATGAATTTCGATGCAATCGATGACATCTTAAAAATTCTATCTTGCTATCGTAAAGACGTCTTACCAGTAGCACGAAAGCGCCCTGAGCATATTTTCATCAATGACTGACACTTCGTTAGAAATAGCGTTGTTGTCAATATCCGGATCGGCTTCGATAAGAATCTGGTATCACGGATTTTTTAGATACTTTCAACCATGAGATGTAAACAAAAAACCTTTAAGTTTTAATCTGGGTTCTACCTCCAGACGGACCACGCTCGTGATAATGCACCCTTTTGTGCTTTACCCTTCCCATAGTCGCAAAACGCATTTGCCAACCATAAAACCAATCTTTACAACAACACTGACAGAAGGGCGTCAAGGAAAGTCTAGGAATGGCAGGCAAATTTAAATAGGAAAGTACTAGTTTTTCAAAGTGGTCTGTAAGTAGCACTACCTAATGTCGTGTTCACAGCCAGCCGAACTACACACCTGGAAATTGCCCATTTACGATCAAATTGATAGAGTGGAGCAAAGCCAAAATCTATTGAGCTATCTAAACCTGAGTCCTTTTTTGAGCAATATGGGTGGCCCCCATTTTTCTGAGGCAGCTATCTACCAGTCTACTGAATGTTAAAAGATGATATGAGACATATCATCTGATAAAGCAGAAGGATCGGCCTCAGTATCGGCCAATGGACTGATGGGTATCGCCTTTAGTCGAATCGGGTAGCATTTTCGATGATCATGTCCACCCGAAGAACCTAACCAAGGTGTACCAACGTTTTCTGTGTATTGCAACGCGCAGGAACTTAGCAATGCATTCATGCGGGCTTTATGTGTCTGTAAAGATAGAGATGCCAGTTAGGCCTCCCGAAAGATGCAGATTAAAGAGGTATTCATACGCATGCCCTGTAATGTAGTTAAGTAAGTTCTGAGAATGCCAGTTTTTCAGCTCTTTTGAACTTTCTTACTTGACACACTTTCCGCTCTCGAAAGCAATACTGGATCACAAAAACTCACCGTTGAATTCATTTTTTCCAACAATTCCCTTGCTCTTCTTTCGTAAAGGGAACCGATGTTGTACCACACATTAGCATTGAATAACTGAAACACGTCAGTACAACTCGTTTACGTAGTGTTCTTTTGAGAAGGCTCGCAAAGATGGATATCCTTCCCATCGATGTTCTCAATAAGAAGGATTTTCCATATCGGATATCCTTTGGTGACCTTGTGTGGCTTTTAGTTTGACATGACACTCTACCTACGAGACATGAATCAGCTCCAAGCCTTCACGACATCCTCATGATTGGAAGCGCATGCACTCTCTAGATTGCCCTTGTTCTCTCCTGACAGGCCAATCAGTCTCTCTAGAGGGTACTAGCCATTTCAGCAGCCATTTCATGTTTCTATAGTTTTATTTATTTACTGCTGTCTACTGAATACGAATGTTTTGTCAACAAGTACCTCATTATTTTCAAAGACAGCAAATTGACGTTGATATTCAGCATAACGTATGGCATCTGCAATCTTGTCGTCCCCTGTGTTCTCATCCTTACAACGAGCATCTATCATGCCTGTTGTGTTTTGTACAACACTGTAATTCTTGATGCTAGAAAAGATAAGGGTTTTTTGTTTGTCAAGAGAAAGCATACGAGAAAATAATTTCATCACATCTCCGCTTGAAAGAGTTTTCAAGATTTCTGTTGTCGGAGAGTTCTTGCTTTGACTGAGAACGGTAGAAACGTCGTATTCGAGGGCTCTTATAGTTGTGGTATATGGAGTTTTCTGAAAATTTGCTAAATTCATCGACAGGGGAAAGAAACTGAGAACACCTCACACTCGACACCCTTTTCAGATCGTAGTGGCCCTTTGAATGCGTATGTGGCCTTACAATGACTTGCATTGACCAGACGATGTTGGAGCCAGTGTTTTGTCCTTTCTAGTGAGCCTAACAGAAATTGAAGCCGATCCTGAGCTACTGAAGGTTTGGTTGGTCTGTGCGGGATCGATTCGGGAATCGACACCTGGATCTTGCCTGTTATAGAGTAGAACTTCACACTATCAGAAGTAACTACTGTTTTTATGATCAACTCTCCGTTTAAATATCCCATGCAAGCCCGGCTACGTCATATTCCTCGTTGCCTTTGACGAGATGAAAGTTGGCTCAACCCCTGCCCGGTTACATTATACTGCTTGAGGAACACCCATGAATATATGAGACAGTAAGAAGCTTACCTGCATTCAGACCGCAATTTGCCTTCTCCAAAGTTCCTCCCATCAATTCATTATATGGTTGTAACCGATTTATATGTGAAGTACGACTTTGTTCCTGATGGCTGCCTTCTTCGAAGTTTACCACTCTATAGCGATCCACTCTCCTTTTGAAGCGTCGACCCCTTTTTCTTCGGAAGAGGAATCGTAGAAATTTCAACATGGAGACTCCGAGTAGGTTTTGCCACGATTCAGAATGAATCGATGAGAAAGAGCAGCTTTTATATCCGCGCTATCATTCCGTATCTTTGATAACTGATGATACCATCTCGATAATTAGTTTAGCCATGTTTTCTGCAAGCTAGAAAGTACAAATTTCGGAAGAAGGTCAGATTTTTCATTGAGAAGAAACTGTAATGCTTAGCCACCTCCTGTCTGTTTCGGAAATGTACTTAATTACATAGCTTCTACCCAGCCTTGATGATGAACAGAAGTCTCGTAGAAAATGGCTCCAATCGCCTGAACTCAATTCGCTGAATGTAAACCAAAGAAAGTTGAAAAAGCGAATGAAGCCCGTATAGAGGTAGGCTCTAGAAAAGGGATTATAGGAGAGATCTGGAAGAGCACCATTATTTATTCGATCATGACTTTTCTGAATGAAATCGACAGAAAAGATCTTCCGTATTAGTGACGAACAAATACAGAGTTTAATCTACAGAAAAGATTTTTACAGTGGATATAGTTCAGCCGACGTTACAGCTCGTCCGACTTCGTTTTCGCATAGTACAGTGTATGTGCCTGAAAAGAAAACTTGTGAGAAATATCTATCCGAAATAAGGCTACGGTAACTGACTATGGCCGCAAACTACAATAGTACACCACTTATAATATTGCCTAACGAAATCATACGATTTTCTTGCCTCTTCAATTGCTCCACAGTATAATCTGAAGGGAGTGAATGGGTATGTAGAGAACCTGCGTGTTCCGCATCGGAGCATCAGAATAACCAACTGCGTAAGGGAGTAGAACTTTGCGAGCGTGGGTCCAGCCCCTAACATTGAGTAGGTATTGATCAGGTGAATGGCGTAATTGTAAAACTGTGAAATGAGCCCCGACACAGTTCACGGAGTTGTGCGTTCCAGTGATTAGCTGTTCCTACGATTCCGCGAGCGGTTGCGACGCGGCTACGTTATGACGTCACGCTTACGCTTCGCGAGCGCGAGCTATGAAATTGCGCAACAACTAATGAAAAATTGAAAACAGACAGGATCAAAAAGTGGAAGTGACCATTCAGAAGGAAGAAGAATTCCGCTCCAATCAACAAAATTCATTCTGTTTATAAAACAAAATATGAAGGACGATGGACAGCTCCTTACATTTTTATATATTTGCCTATTGAAACAATGGAAAAACTCACCAAAGTGGTGCGGCATGACATACGGTATGGTCAGTCGACAAACATCGGCAGTATCGTCGATTTGGACATCTTTGAAAATCAACTTCTCATCATTGAACAACCAACACACCTGCGCATACAATTCTTTTATTTTTTCATATTCTATTCTTGCCAGTTTTTTTTTTGGAATTTCAGTTTCCTCTTATGATACATATCCATAAGTCCGCATCAAGGGTTAACAACAATAATTATTCTGGCCTGACCTAAAATACAATTTACTAGGACGTGCTTTGGCGCTAAAAAATGGCGGATTGTTTTTTGGGCCGAAAAGAGTCTCAGTAACGACTTATCCTTATCGTAAAACCATGAGGGCGTCTGCATGACAATAACGCCCCTCGCTGACTGCTCCAGGAGTGGATTTTTCAATTTTTTTTTGTGGATTTTTCAGGAGTTACTGGTTCTTTCTTTTTCATGCACCGCCATCTGCCAGGAGACTATCACACCTGACCCGCATAAATGAATAAATGTCATCAGCAGCCAAACTGATTGAATCCTAATTGAATTGAGTATTGCGTATTATTTGCAAGATAGTCATCATTGAGCAATGGAGGATGGATGCAAGATAGTCAATGGAAAATATAACCAATTTACAAAAATTCAAAAATTAATTGGGAAAAGAATTGTGGCGATCTCAACGGATGTTACCTTTGGTCTAGGGCTACCCAGAAGTACACAATCGAATACAGCTCTTCCGCCTACATGAATTCGAACATCACCGAATACCTGCAGTTAAAAAGCATTAAGTAAATGAATGTTTATTAATCAATGTTGTGAAATAGAATTCTCCAACAAAATAGCAAAAACTCACTTTAAGAAACTCAGGGGCGTAATTCCAGGGATTTTGAGCATATTTATTTTTGGGTATCTCGTAGGCTAGTTGGTTTACTTGCTGAAAGTTGGAAATGATTTATTGTATTGCCTTACGATGAACAATGAAAAGTGCTTTCCTACATTTGTTTGCCACTTTCTTCCCAAGGCCGTCATTTTTATGAACATTTTGAGCATTTTGTAAAGTTTTTGTGTTTGCTGTAGGTTTAAAGCATTGTAGAAAAAATTCCCAACACCCGATCCCTCAAAAATCGACCCAATGATTAAAGGATACAATTTCCCCACCTGCGGACTGCCCTAGCGTACTATAGAATGAAATATTCAACTCAAGAATTTCTAGAATTTTTTGAAAAATATATCCACAGTATTCCAGAGCAGCTTAGTTACTTCCAAATATAGAAATGCGATTTCTCAAAGCACTTTGGAAAGATAAGAAAAAACTTCATCTTGGAATCTGACTTTGGAACCCGAAGCCAAACCTTTGTCAATGGGCTGCGCTGAGGCACAGGACGTATCAGGTTGTCGTGAACATCCACATTCAAATTACTGTAGCTCCGTCGTGGAGGAGGTTGTGGAGAATACCGATCCATTCACCTGGAATTTCCAAAAAGAAAGTGAATCGTCTCGAGAAATAGTTTGGTTAGAGAGTTGGAGAGACCTTTCTCTTTTGTAGGAGCAATGAAAATGAGACCATTCGATTTAGAGTAAAAATCGAACGCATTTCTAACAGTACGACTGCTAAGACAGTACCAGATGAAGGGATTCAGGAGCCTAACGTGCGATGGATAGAAAGATCGTTAGCTTGAGTTGATCCCTACTGAAACTCCAAATGATGCAAATTTCATACGGATATTCCATAATGTCATTCCTAAACGGACACAGTCCAGCAGCCAGACACTTCAGCATTTAGCGGCTGCGCCTTATCCGTGTTCGAAAAAGTATGATCCATTTGAATCTCGCCGGTTTAATGGACTCTTGTAATCGGTCAAGAGGAAATCTGAGTATCCCATAATATTCTCAAATAAAAGGGAGTAACGAAAAAAAGTAAAGCAGGTTACCCACAAGTACACCTCGAGAAGCTATTGTTGTTTTTACTCTGTGACGTGAGCTCTACGCAAACTTGTCGAGCGTACGATCGGCGTCAGTGAGGGACTGATGCCCAGGATTACACGCTAAGCGCATTCTTAGAAAAAAATGATTACGGGTCAGGAAACTCTCATTTGACTAACAATTTTCGATCAGCTGGTACGAGCACGTCACTGGGACCACAGAAGCATGGAATGAGAGCGGTTACCAGCCGGATCACATAGCCAACTAGATAACCGGATAGCAGTCAACTTGATTACCAGATTGATTTATGTCAGTCCTGTGCTAACAGTACTCCATTTATTTGGTATTGGGTGATTGGAGTGGAATCTTTGGGATATCTCTGCTCATTGCCGAGGTTTCGAGATTTTACTGGCACAGACTCCATTGGTTTGGTGAACAACGGACTTATAGATGGGCAACACTGGGTTCTGGCGCTTCCGTCAATTTGCGAAATCAGAGAAAAAAAGGGATTACACCAAAGAAATTTTTTAGCCTCCGTACAGCCAGCTGTGAGGCCTTAGAACCGCAAAGTCGCCTCTAGTTGGCACACAGTGGGCTCCAGGGAAAGAAATCTCATTGCGAACAAACCAGTTGACTCTGGGAAGAAGAAAATAATTAAGAAGATGAAGAAGAATTGAAGAGAACGGTATCGATCGATGAGAAAGTCACATGAAGCTGGGTAGGTGGATTGCTATGCGGAGTGAAAAGCAAACATCGTGAAAAGACGGCCACCTACCGGAAATTAGAAAAGAATGTCAACGATAGAGACTGAAAGAAAACGAGAGACCCCGAGAAATCGTGTGACATCCTAAAAAACTGCTGATGCATATTTGATGGTTAGGAATGAGTTTTTGTCACGCTGTGGCCAGAACCTATGAAAGATAGAAGCTTCAACGTGGTGGCCGTCAGAAATACAGTAGAGCGAAGAAGAAACCATAGGAGAAACCTCTACAGTATAATCATATATGGCTATAAACTTGTGGGCTGTATCCCTCCCACAAGTATCCCATGCAAAAGTATTTTTAAAAAGGTCCTCATGCCTTTGGAACTGTTCCTCTCACATACCTTTTCCCTGGCTTTTTTGACTATTTACATTGTCTCATTGAGCCATTGAGTAACTATACCTAACTTCTTCAGAGAGTTTCAAAGACGAGACGTCACTGACTGGTTAGCTCCAGCGCTCTAATCCTTCAACCTTGGACTTCTATGAAGAGTTGTAAGAGGTCTATGAAGGTCTTTATCACGCTAGATATAATCAGTAAACTTCTGTTGATATGGACCAAATAAGATTTGCAGCAGTCCATGGCTTCACCATTTCAAATCTCTTCACTATGGCGATGAAGTCTGTTCGAGCTTAAGAAACCACTGCATAGGTCAACAATTTACTTGTTATACGTTTAAAATAGGAGTCATATCAAATTTTCAGATCCAAGCAAACGCAATCCTTCTGTAAACATGCATAGTTGGTCCTTTTTTACTTATGTTTAATAAGTTCTTATTTCTCCCACGAGTGCAAAGTATGATGGTAGGCATGTTGTTATAGCGCTTT